TTTTATGATGTGCTATAGTTCACCTGTGCAGAGGCATCACACACAGCAACACCCACCCCATCTTGAACAGTGTTGTTTGATATCCTCACCTACTTTTAGTTTAATCTGCCTTAGAAATAGATTATTTGGCTCAAGTTACAATTCTTTTTATCCCCTTACATCTTAATATCAAACTGTTGCAGAACTTTATCCAATCTAGCACTGAGGTAAAGAAAAACAACCTACATTACCTTTTAAGTCCAGATTCTGCAGTAAACAGCTGTGACATCCTGTGACAAGAAAATCCCCTGTTCTTTATAATTTTGGAAGCTGCACATCTTGCCATCAAGTAAGAACAATAGCTGACTGGTTCTAAGGGGCTTTGCAAAGCCAACACATTTACTGTCCTCAGGAGTGGTGCTTGATTGTTCATTACTTTGCCAACAGAGTGTTGTGATAACTTTGACAATGCACCTCAAGTTTGAATTCCTCCTTTTTCACTGGTTCTCATACCCAACTCATATAGCTGTGCCACTGTGTGGGTACACAGTCTATCACAGAACAGAACCTCAACAAGGACTGCAGACACAACCATAACCCAAATTATAAATTGTAAGAATCTTCTTACATGTGTTCTTTTCTCCTAGATTCAGCACAGTTTCCCTTCATTTCTCTAGTACAGCTTAAAATACTGTCCCTAGCTGAAGCCTCAGTGTTGACCGTTCATGAGTCATTCAGAGGTGCTTAGAGCACTAGGTACTCTGAGCCTTCAACTGACTTTATGTGGGTGCCCGTCTGTATGTGCACGATCCCACTGAGGTCAGCCCAGGTGCAGTTGTCCTCTGAGAGCAACAATATGGTGGTGGCCTCACATGGTAAATTGTCAACAAAATGACTTTGCTTCTCTTCTTTTTTTCTAACAAATCCCTGTTTGCACTTCAGGTGTTTATTATAAAACATTATCATTAGTATTATTTCCTGAATCTAGAAAGCACATGCATCTCATTGATTCTGAGCTGACATAAACATGATCTGCTCTCAGGGAAAATTGCTATAATGGGACATAACACAGGAATTTACCAGAGTGCCCTCTATTCACAGGTCCAGACAGGAGTTTCTTAAAGCCTGCTTTCACTGGAAAATAGTAATGCATCGATAGTCAAACTTTCCTCAGCAAGACACTTGTATCTACAGTAGTTTTTTCCAAGAGAAGTTTTTCAGGACCAGGTGAAAATTTCTAATCCAAAGCAAGGCCAACATCAAACCAGCATCCATTAGTAATCATGCAGGCATAGTGGAAAGATTAAATTCTTCTCCCACTCATGATTAAGACTGCTGCATCTAAGGTAAGTCCTTCAGCCTCCAACCTTTAAAATTATTTCATGCCCAGTGAATACTTTATTATGAAAAAACACTAAAGCCGCTTTCATAGGAAAGAATAGCAAGCAAAGAAAACGCGGTGAATTGATACTTCTGAAAAAGCTGAGTTCAGACTCCTGGTTTAAATCAGGCAATGCAAGGTTTTCTGCATCCCAGGCACATGCCCCTGACACGAGTATAAAAACTGCCATGTGTGGAGTTTGTTTCATCTCTTCTCTCCTCACAAAGCCTGATTTTTGCTCTAGTACAGATCAACCCCCCCCAAAGATTAGATCTCAGAAAGAGATGTTGGGTGGGAAAACCATTTCCATTTGCTTTTTCTTCTTTTTACTCAGCACCTGAATCACAGCAGCAAATCAAGCAAGCTGCTGTTTATCAGGACAAAGTAATGAGCCGGAAGAATTTGTGCTGTGGGGGTGGTATTTTCCTGACATGACTTTGATTCTTGAAATGACAGTAAAAAAAAAAAAAAAAAAAAAAAAATCAGTTTAACTGCCTTTCCAAAGCAGGTAGTTTTTGTCATTCGAGTTTAATGTGCCAAGAAACCCAGCAGTGAATAACTTTGTTGAGCTGAAAATGCATTTGTTCAGGGTTGATGCTAGAATACCTGGTCTGTCCTTGAGAACTGTTCTATAAAGAGTTCTGGCCACAAAGAAACGATCTGCATTAATTAAAGCCAAACAGAACATCAAGGTCTACATGCCAACTCTACAACAAAAGGCTGAAATTCAGGGCCACTATGAACATCTTCGTATTGATGTGGTTTCTAAATCTTTCAGTCTTGACCTGATCCAAAGACTGTGAAGTGGAGAAGACCATGTCTGACCCTTCAGCTGTGCTTAGTTGGGTATATATTTTGCAACATGTTTGGAGAACAGCCTGTGCCACCACACTGGGTAGCTCCGTCCTTAGCTCATGTTCCCAGTGCAACTCATCCAGGACGGTGGCTGCAGTAGTTCTGGTTAGTGACAACTGGACATCTTCCTTCTAGCAAAAGTTCTGGTATTATCCTTACAGTATTCATTTTAAATGTATATGATATATATTTCTAACCCTCAGTTTTAAAAAGAGGATGAAAAATTGCTTTGTGTCTGTAACTGTATGAAAACCAGAAAAAAAAAATTAACAACAAACAAATAAATAAAATAATTCTTCCATTAACTACTTAAAAATAAACAAAAAAAATATCTATTTTAATATATTTTTGAAAAATTAATTACAGTTTTAGATGTTTATATCCTTCTTCAGGACTTCTCAGAGTTCTAGCTAACAAAGTTCTTATTGTTTTTATTTAATCAAATGTTTGCTGGTGTCATTTGCTGAAAATGCCTTTCCATTTTGAGGCTGCTCTAGGCACTCGAGTAAAGCTGGTCGTGCTGAACAGTGCTCTGTGGAGAAGGCGCAGCTGCTCAGACTGTTGCATATGGGCATATTTCTTTTAAAGAGATATACAGATTTATTTCATTTAAGGATCTGGCCCTGATCATGGATTTGTGAGAACATTTCTGTAACTGAACGGTGACTAAGGAAAATCAGAATGTAGCATCTGATAAGAAAGTACATTTGATGTTACTGATATGATCCTAAGTTTTGAGTGGAATTAATATATAGTTACATGTAAACTCTGTGTTTTAGTGTGTTTTTTTTTTGTCTTTAGAAAAAGTTAGGTCTGAGATTTTTCATCTGGTCATAACTCTTTTAATGTCTTCTGTCTTAGGAAGACCAGTCTTATGTGCATTCAAAAGAGCTGAAGCACAAGCCATACTGTATTATAAATATGGAAGCCACAAGGACAAGTTTTCTATTAATTAAATTACATGAATGTACCTGATGTACTGCACATGCACAGTGTGGAGTTATTCAGAGCATCTGTCGTCAGCTACATTAGTCATCTAATGCTCTGAATCACATTATTGGGCATCTCTCCCACTGACTACACTGAAAATTTAAGAGTCTAAGTTTGATATGTTTAATTAAATCTAAGAGAGATGATTAAGGCAGACTAACATAGGTGAAATGCCCCTCATCAGAAATTACTTGGCTGTGTGTATCACCTGACACAATTAGTTGCAGGACATAACTGGTTAAAATTACTTGAGCTAAAAAAGCATATATGAGGATTGAGTATATTCTTTGCTTCCGGAGCTCAATGCACACAGCAGTGCATTTAGAAAAAAACAACAACAACAACAACAACAACAACAAAAAACTACAACACACCCTCTCCCCCCAAACATAAATATTTAACACAATAATTAATTTTTATTTCTGTCCTTGTTTCTCTCATGCACCAAGATCAAGCACAGTTTTCCTCTGGACTCATACAACTTTAAACTTTGATTTTAAAATGCAATCAGAATTTCCTATGCAATCATAGATCCTAGCACCTGGAACTACAAGAAAAAAGAGAAAGCTTCCTTCAGCTACTATAAAACTTGTAATAGAAATGTGTTATTTGACATCACCCATTCCAACTGGAGTGACTGACTTTAACTTTTTAGAATTGCCAGTGCCTAAAATCTTTGGAGGAACATCTTAATCCAAAAGTTTGAAATACAGGTGATTTAGGGGACAATTAAGATACACAGAACCTCTGCAAAACTGATCTCTCCTTCAAGGAGGTGACAGTGGATCTGTGGGCCTACCTTTAACTTTATGAATTTACATTTTTACAAGAGATTTTCAAGGGCATATTTTGAGTGCCTCAGAAACAGCTTATGTTGTTGTTGCAACTTGTTTTATGTGGTGAAAAGAACCTGTTGAAGCATAACCATTTGTGTGAGTGGAGTCACAGCAATTTATTTTTCTCACAGGGATTTGTGTCCTCCCAGATATTTCAAATGTATTTGCAGAAGCTCTCATCACATACAAGACCATGTCAAATTTACAGAAACCTAGTGACAAGCCTTAATATTCATGCCCTGATTATGCCCATCAGAAGTTCAGAGGCTTGGTTCTTCAGAAAAATAGTGAGGCAGAGCCTCAAGTTCTACTAAATGCCACACTGCAGAAGTCATGCAAACCTAACAGAAAGCACTAAGTCCAGGACATGCTTTTGGAGTCTGGATTCAGATCTGTGTGTAAAATTGATGCAACTCCATGTGGGAACAATTGGTTATGTAATTTAAACTTTCTAAATAAACTTTAAAATACAGCAACTTACAGGGTCACGTTGTGATTAGTCATTGTGAAAGGCAAAAGAGAAAAAAAAAAAAGTGTGGTTACTACAGGTTCTAGTATATAATTTTGGTGGCCCTCAAGCTGTGCCCAGGAAGTTACTGTCGAGAGCAGGACACACAACATCAGCGTCTCATTTATAGGAAGTCAGGACCTAAATGTCTGTTGAGAAAAACACTTAAACTCCCTGACACAAGTTACGGGTACATCTAAGTAGTTTTGAAAAATAAATAAAACCAATACAGAAAACATTCATCCTACACTTTATCGCTGAGGGAGAATAAAATTGTACTTTCTGTCCTGTACAGAAGAGACACAAGCATAGGTTAAAGCTTTAAGGGGTTGTCTGATGCACAGGCCTTGTGTTATTTCTGAACAGAAAAGGGGATTCCACCTGAAATGAATCAGGTACTAAATGCATAAAAAAGCCAATACCCAGGAAAGCAAGAACAAAGAGAACTCACTGTCTTTTGAGCTGCTCTGCCGGAACCTTTCCAGGTCCACGCTGGGAGGTCTGCAGGGCTTCTGTGGGGGCTGGCCCAGCTTGAACAGAGGGGGCAAGGCTTTCCGCCTGGGGGTTCCTGAGCTCCCGTCCCCGTCCTCTTTTTCTTGTGATCCACCTGATGGCCTTCCTGCACCAAGTGCTGTGTTCGTCTTATGAAACTTAGGAGAGCTCGATTCTTCCTGGATGATTTTGTTGATAAAGAGGTTCTTGGCAGCACTCATTCCCTTTTCTTCAGACTTTTCCTCCATGGTTTTGGCGGTGCCTTGAGATGTGCTGGACCAGTGGCCAGTAGGCTTCAGAGTCGTGTTAGAAAAATGACTGCCTGCGGCTTCTGCAGCACACTTACTATTTTCATCCATTTCCTTTGCTGCTTTAAATGAGTGAATATTTGGTCTAAGTCCTTTCGGAAGAAAAACATTTTTATTAGAAACATCTTCGTTGTGGGAGACCTCATGATTTAGAGATGGTTTCTGTGCAAGAGTTGGTTTAGACAAAGGAGGTTTAGGCTCATTTTCTTGTGTTGCAGACATGAACTTTTCCTTAATTCCAGTTACTTTTGAAGATGCTGGTTTTTCCTCACTCTCCTGTGGTGCAAAATTTGGATTTGGTTTTGTTCCCAGAGGGTTTTTTTCTTTCTCGCAAGGAGAAAAGTTAAGGAACTTGTTCCCTGCAGATTTTTGATACAGAGGCTTTGGCTCTTCTTTTGCCACATCACTGGTTTTAGGGGGGGGTTTAGTGCATACAGCTTTTCCATCATTTTCTCTGTTGGTTGCATGAAGCTGAACTCCAAACTTTTGTGCCACTGGTTTCAAATATGGGGGCTTTGGATCCTTCTCTGTTTTATCATCAACTGAAGGCTTGACCCCCAGAGGAGGCTTAGGATGAGTTGGTTTGTGAAAAGTACTGGGTCCTGAAGGAGGAGTTGCATTTCCTTGAGTTGCAAATTTCTCAAGTGCTGCTTTCCTCGTCTGTAATCCTGTATGGATAGGTTGTCCTGGGACTTTGAAGGGTCTGTTGTTACCAGAAACATCCTCTGTGGGATTGCTACCCGTGTTAAATTTCGCCATGAGGGACTTCACATTTGCCTTGCCATCCTATAAGTGTAAAGAAGAGAAAAAGAAAGAACAGCAATGAGAAAGTCCCCGTTGCAGTGTTCACACATACTGTACTTTAAAGAGTTTCCTGGTCTGAGGCTTGTAGTACTGCTGATTGGCTGTGGAGATATTGTAGTACATCTTCCTGTAGGGTTAGAGAAGCTAAACATTTTGTTATATCCTTGCTGTGGTTATACAATCTTTTAAAGTTTTCAGTGCAGATACTGTCTTTAGAGTGGTGATGCACTCCTTTTGGGCATACTATAATTTCTATTTATTTCTGGAACTGGGAACTGAACACATAATAAATATAAGAAAATACATACTACTTTAAAATTAATGTATCCCTAAAAATATGAGTGTCCTGCAGTGAGAAGCATAGACTGTACTAGAACCTGGATTATGTAGTAGATTAGCATTATTCCTGCCAACTCTTTGCAGAACTGCAAGTTCCTTTGTGAAAACAGAAATTCTTCTGTTTTGGGGTGTTTTTCTTTCCCTTCTCAGCAGTTTTCTTCCCTACTACTCCCCCGCCTTCAGTTTGCCCTTGTTTGCCTTCTCCATTTGTATCTGAAAAAAAAATGTGCACATGTGGATGGAAAATGAAAATATGTGGAGTAAAATAGGAAGAAATGACAATGAATACACCCAGATACTGTCAAAGATACTTAAATTCTTAAGGGGGAGGGAAAAAAAAAATTGAACAATTCCAAGTGGATAAAACACAGCTTCATTCAAAAATGTTTTAACTGGTCAGCCCTATTCAAGACTAGTCTTTAACATGAGCTGAGAGAAAAAACTCAATGCATTTGAATCCAGTACAATCAAAATGCAGTGCAGTGAAGGATGGGGGTGAAGGGGAGTTAGATGGTCCCACTGTGCTGGGCTGGGGCCACTTTTGGGTTCCAGGAGACCTCTGCAGCAGGGAGTCCTTGCCCATCCAACACTGGCAACAGCGGTGCAGCTACAGAGGATATGCTAGTGTATCTGATTCACAACTTGTTTAAGTTGGATCTTTATTTTGTGCAGAAGTTAAAATGTAAGACTGATAGTATAAAGCAGGGTTGTTATACCTAGGAAGGGCTCTGAATCTTTTGTTTGGAAAAAAAGGAGTATCGCTACAAAGCACAATAAATAGGTGCCTGAAAAGCTAATTTAGAAAGAGGTTGAAGAATGAACTGTGTCTTCACTCTCTACAATTCATTAGGTGTTCAGTAATCTTTTTACTTCATTAACAAAAGGTTCTAAATTGGGGTTTTGCTCATTTTGCCTTCTGTTTGATTGTATCACATTACATGTATTGCCTGTTGTGTGGAAATAGTTTTACATGTGACTTCTGCAACTTAACTTCCCTAGTCTTTTAGTATCACCAGGAAATTCAGTCTTTCCAAACTGTTTGTATTATACTACAAAGTTAGTTAAAATAAAGGCAGATGAAACAAGATAGACATATATGAAACTATCCTCAGAGCACCATATTGTTATCTCTTTTGAACATATAGGGAAGAGAGGAAGTACACATTTACTATGGAGATTATCAGTTTTGTGCTATCTTCTGCTGGTTGGTGCATATGAAGTCACACACACTGCAGAGATACGTATGTTTATCACTAATCATTCACAATTTCTCCCACAATAACTCACAAAGCACTGATTTTACCCACTTAATCAGAAAGTTAAGCTAATTGCAACGCCAAAGAGAGTAACAAAGCCTTTTGCCTCTGATCTGTTTTGACTTTCTACTAATACCTGCTTTTTTTTTTTTTTTTTTTTAACTTCTGTAACAAAATCTAATCAGAGATACTATAACTTTACCTCAGTGTCTGAAGTCTTCAGAACTTATAAATTACAATCTTATCTGCTGTTTGGCCAACTCAGCAGCTCATTTATTTTAAAAGTTAAAGCAATAAGTTGATCTACCTCTTCCATTTGAAATTTAAGAAAACATACTGTATCAAACTACAGTATTGTCAAAGTTCTAGACAAGAGACATTCAGCATGTAGACCTTTTGGGAGCTGGAAATGTGACTTTGAAGAAACTTTTCTTGTTATGAAGTATATGGCTTCTGGTAAATTTTCTACATCTTTGCAATAGCAAGATCAATTACATTCACACATGCTTTCAAATGCACTGAACCATTCACTACTGCCATGTTAGGTCTATTAATGGATTTCCTTTAACAAATTTCTTCCCAGTACTTTGAACAAACCTTGACCTAATGCAGAATTACAAGCTCTTAAACAGTAAAAAGCTCCTGGACATGTGGAAGGATTTACAATCAGCACTGTAGCATCTCTCATTTACTTACAGTGAGTATTAAGTGGTAAATGTAACACTAAGAATCAGAAGAGTTTAAGAAACTTCATGAAATCTTTCTGCTTCTTTTTAATGTATGTCACTAGTTCCTTCTTTCATAAGCTACGTTATACTAGAAGCCATATTGTGGATTCTAATGCAGAAACTGACTGGCCAGGTAGATAAATGGGGAACTGGGAAAAAGAGAGAATCTTTTATTTGTGGCCCTGTTCATAGAGTAATCCCCGCAGTTTCTGTGCTTCCTTTCCCAGAATCGACAGCAGTCACCTATTCCATTAGCATATACAATAGGTTGTAAATCATGAAATGGGAACTTGAAAAGATTCTGAAGTGAGATTAAGTTCACTCTACCCTTCCCCTCCAAAGTGCAAAGTGCCTGTGGGACAGAGGAGTCTCATACAAGAAGTATTTGGGTTATTTCCTCAACTCTCTCTTTGCGCTCTATTGAGAAACTCAGAGTAAAATATTTTGGCTTTTCAGCTTCTGATCTGAACTGGAAGAGGCACATAAGGTGCATACTAATAGTTGCTTTGATATGAGATGGTTGCATTATTCAAATGTGTTTGCTCAAATCTAGAAAAACAACCTGATTTTAGTTCCCATGCCAGAGATTCATGAAGGAGCTTTGTATTAGTAGTGCTTTCCCAGCCTCCCACTGCATTCAGCAGAGACTCACACAGATACCGAGGTACACTTGTGCAGAATACTTCCACAGCTAGATCTTAATTACACCCCAGTGTAAACAAGTGCAATTCCTCATTATTTACAACATAACTCCACATTTCTGTACAGAAATACAGTGTAATGAGAACACAGAAATAAGAAGCTTCCAGCTGTATTCTTCCTGAATTTACTGTGAATATTTTAGTTACAACTAGCAGCCTGATCAGAAAACATTCAGTTTTGTTTTGTTTTGTTTTGTTTTGTTTTGATTTGTTTGTTTGTTTGTTTGTTTGGCATACACATGCTCTCATTATTTACTTTCCAGTCTTGATGAGGCCAAAAAATCATTTCACTTCAACTTCTCCTTGTGGTTGCTCTTTCTTCAAACAGCAACACTGGATCAATGAAAGAAATAGCAGATGTTTGAACATACAATCCTTAAATAAGCGAATTAAATATATGTAACTGTTGACTGTACAAGGAGTTGTACAGTTCTTCAAAATACATGCAGATCTGATTTATAATGGAAAACCCCCCATCTTTTCACTTCTCACCTGCCACTTTCTCCTTTCTATTCACAAATGATATGGTCTAAACAGGCCTTTTAAAAACTCATAATCTTTTAACAGAATCAGATCTTGATGAGTTTGATAGAAACTGATGAAAAAAAAATGTAAAGCTATCTCTTTAAGAAGAAAAGTGTGTATACTCGTGAATTCTGTGACAGTGAAATAATCAGAGTAGCTGATAACTAGTAAGGGAATTGAGCTTAAATCATGAACAGGATATAAGGAATAGGACCTGGACAGAACAGGCAAGAAAAATGACATATAAAAGTTATAGAAAAATACAGATCTGAAAAGTATTTGGCAACTTTATAAAGACCTGATTTATCTTCTACTGAAATTAATGGATTTGAGGGAGTTTAGCTGCTTGCACAAGATGCTAGTGCCATTCTGAATTCATGATAAATTAGCTCTTATTTCCTTTTCCAGACAAAAAGGCTTCAGAAATATCAATATGCAATTTTGCTGTTTCCAGAAGAGCTAAACCATTTCCAAGTTGCTTTTCTTCCCCTTGAGTCTAATTATATTAAAGAATACTCTCTCTAATAGTGGATGCAGCATTTGGAAAGTGGAGTTAAGATATTGCAATGGTCTGTACATATGAATATGGGTAGTGGAAGTATGAAAAGAAGGCAGAAATACAGCATCTGCCCAAAGAGAAAGACTTGTTAATACAATGGTTGGTATACAAGAGAAATGAGCCCTCATCAATAATGAAGAAGTAAGCTATTCTGCTGTCTTGGGGGTTTCTGAAAGGCAGACCTCTAGGATGGAGAGACTGGACAGAAATCTGAGGGATTCCCTGGTGAGAGGCTGAGCATCATTTCAAACATCCCTCCAGCACCAGCAAGGCAAACTCAGCACATTTGTGAGGACATGCAGTTGTCAAAATTAGACAAGACAGTGTTTCAACACTATATTCTGCATCTTCCATTGTGCATTCCTCTGCACCTTTGTTGTCCCTCTCTTGTAACTTTTTCTCATCTTTTACATAATCATAATACCAACTACATCATACTGCAGGAATATGAAAGGAGGATATACTTCATCCACTCCAGGGCCTTTGAGTCCAGGACTAGTGAAGGCATAGGGCTTGACTAGAACAGCCAGATGGCATCCCAGATTGGTCCCAAACTATTGCTGTCACAGCCAAAGCATCTGTACATGCATGGTCATCTCTTCATCCTATGTCCTGATAAGTTCAACATAAAGTTTCACTTCTGTTTTCCTGCTTCTTTTTGGTACGTTTCTGCATCAAAATCAGAAAAACTATCAACCATTGGCAACTCAGTCTGTAACACAGAAGCCTACCAGCTTCAATTTTCCACGAAGAAGTTCTATCCAATAAAACCAGACAAACTAATATCCCTTCCTGAAAAATTATTACGATTTTTTTAACATGGCTTTACATAAGGCCATAGTTTCTTAACAATTCGGGCTTTTAAAATTAAATA